ACAAGTGTCTTGGGAGTTTTAAAAAAAAAAAGGGGGGGGGGAGCAACCCTAGACTAGTTCCGTTCAAAACCACGACGTGACATTTCTGAAAGAAACGAGAGCTCCAGCAGAGCGCTAGGCATGCGTCCCAGGTATGCAGTAACTCTTCGTTTTTCTTTTTTTTTAATTCTATAACACAAAGTCACTCTAGTGCTACTCCGGGGGGGAGGGGGAAGGGAGTATTTGTGTGCCGAAACACTATTATTTCCATGTTTTAGAAATATCTAAGCCATACAGAACAGAAAATTTGCTAAATCCATGTTTTTCTCCCTTTACAGACAATACTAAAAGATAGATATGTTTGATCCTATCCCCCTAAAAACAAACAAACAAATGGTGTTCAGCTTGTAAATTAGGGTTCCTAAACTAAAGAGTAAGGAAATAATTGGAACAGGCAAGCAAGAACTGTGTGTGTACTTCACTGGGACAATTCACAACAGAAGACTGAGCGCGCGTCCAATATTTTGCTGACGACGTGTTTTCAGTTTCCCTTCATCCTCTATAAACTACTTCTGTCATATGCAACAAGATCTTTATCAATATTTGTAGTTTTATGCAAGACACCCTCATGAAAGCACTAAACAAAAATGCCAACTATTGCGTCTTCTCTCAAAGACCCTTGTAATAGTTCTAATCACAACAGTTAACAGCAAGGCAACTCAGACAGGCCCTGACAGAGGCGCAGAAGGCAGGCACAGCCTTAGAAAAGAAAGGAAGCAAAACAGAAGTAAACCAGGTTAGCTGGTTTACCGCACTGTTCAGTAAGTTACCTGTGCTGAACAAATACCTGAACTTGAAACGCAGCCCCAGTAAAGACAGTTAAGCTCTTTTTAGTTTCCTGTTCTGCTACAAGAAACAACTATAAAATGAAGTTGGATACTGTAACTGATTACGAATATGAAAAATACACCTTTGAACTATTATGGAGGAGAGAAATAGAATAAAGCACGCTGCTGTAGTTTGCACAGGCTTTCAACAGTGACCTGTCCAGAATGAGAGGGCTGTATACATAACGTGCATGTTCAAAGCTGCTGGAACAAAGATCAGTTTGAAAGACAGTGTAAGCGCAGTTACTTCTGTAACAATAAATAGTGGTATATAATGTATTAGAACTTAAATTCCAAACTTTATTCCAAAATGAGGACCACATTGCAAAACATCCTGGATTTGGTTTCTTATATTAAAAAAAGACAGCTGGGGAGACAGCACAGACTGAACAAAGGATGGATTTTCTAAGAGCAAAGCCTGCGAGGCAGGAGGTGCTGATATCTGCCCCCAGAAGCGGTCAGTGGTCTCCCAGCCTCCAAATACCGCCTTGCTCCCTCTAGCTCATCGTATCCCGTTCAGAGTTTTCCCTCCCTTTCACAACGCATCACCTTTCAATTTTCACTAGTTTCATCGCATTCTCGCTAGCCCCGAATTCTTGCTGTAATGACCTATACGAACGCCAGTCCGAACAAAAAATGCACATACTTTTCTCCTGCTGAACTTGCTATAACTCACTATAAAAACTTCAGGCTCACTCAAACGCTGCACAGCTGAGTCAGAGCACTACCACACTCGTGACAATCTGCAGGACTGACATGTTGGTGGGTGCTACAGTTTGAAGACAGAATGATGACTTTGTCCTTCATTTTTGGCTTGGACCAGGAATAGCAAGAAAATCTATATTCCAGGCAAGAAACAGTTCTTACCTTTTTCCACAGGCTGCTGTCAAATGGTGAGCCACTGGGCTGCTCTCTGATCTCGGATACAGTGGAACTAGCTGAAGGATCTTGCTACACAGACCACACCAAAAGGAGCCTAGCAGACTGAAAAAGCAATTTGGTATTTTTCTTTTCTTTTTATTCTTTAAACTTTTTTTTGAGAAAAGAACATGTATAAATGCTCTTGTCAAAAACACCTAAGAGCAACCGCATTTGTTTTGCATAAAATTAACTGTTGTAGGAGAAAACACCGCCTAAAAGAAAACAGTACTCAAAAAATCTTGGAAAAGTTATTTCCAGTGAGATTTTAAAACTAGCTGATTTGATTCTTTTCTTAATTATATGAGAAAACTTACACCACACCTACTCAACGCAAAATGATTTTATACCATCAGAAGATTATTTCATCTGCCCTATTGACATGCAATAATTAACCAATAGTTGCAGATATTTGAGAGATTTTTCATGTCACGTAATCTCACATGATAATTTCACCCCAATTTGGCAATTTTATCTATATCCATCAACACCATGTGAACCTGTGAAGGCAGAATGCCCAGAGATCATTAGCACATCTCTCCATTGAATTCCCAATCTTCGCATGCCTAATTTAAGTGCGTTACCACCCAGTCCCAAGCAGAACATTGACAGACAAAATATGATGCACCTCTTAAAATATTACAGTACAAATTAGTAATGTTTACCATTTTTGCATTATTATCTTCACTATCAAACTCGGCTGCTAGCAAATGTAGAACTGCATACACTTTCCAAACTGATGAAAACCACCCTCCAAGGCAGAATCTAAAATTAAGTTAAAAGGGACAAGTAACAGCTCTCATATTTTAAATAAAAGTTGATATTAATGAGCCTACACAATGGTCTCAATGCCTTTTAATGTAGTAATACTAACAAAAATTGAGACAGCAAAGGGTCAGTAAAAGTACATCTAATTGCTTAAAGCCTATTTCACATTCATTAGCAATTAAAGGGTATTAAAGTATCAGTATACTAAAAACTTCCTGAAAGGGTAAAATCAATTTTTTCTTGTAACAGATACAGAAAAGACGTTTACTCTTCAGTAATTAAAGTTCTTCAAGACGTACTGTCTATTAGTCTGTTCAGTCTTTGGGTAGCTACACATCGCAAGCTACGGTAGATGCTCTTATCTCTAAAGGCAGCTCCATCTTGGCAGACTTAACAGCACCCCGTTATCTGTTTCAGAGGTGTACTCAGTGCTTTCAACCTCTCCACAGTGGAAACAATAACTTTAGAGATCATTTGAAAGGTTTGGCGGGTGAACATAACAGGGTCCTTCTGCATCTTTACTTTGCAGTGAAGTTTCTGCCTTAGAGATCTGAGGCTAGTGAAAGGAAAAACAGGTTAAATGTCTTGGTTCAGATTTAAACAGTCACAGCTGTAAAGAATTATTCTGAACAGGTCCTCCAGAACACTACCTAGACAAAGAAAACTGTTTAAGGGCTTGAGTGTCTTCCCTCTTGCTAGCTGTGCTACGGCAAAGGCGAACACCACCACAGTGAAAAGGTCCAGTAGCAAGGCTCGTGGCGAGTTGTTCACTTGGCTCCTCTGGCAGTAACTCAGAATTGTTCAGATCTTAGATCTAATCAGCCATTAGATCTTCGGCTGTGAGCAGGGCAGGGGAACCCTAATCAAGCCCAGCAAAAACACAATTATGAAACGAAGATAAAAAGTCAAGGATCCTTCGTTAAGCGGATGATAGGTAGACTTGATGAAACTAAGCTCCTTCAGTCATAACAGCATAGAATACCAGCAAATTGAGGCCGCAAGCTTCTGCTCAAAATGCCAGACTCAAACCCTGGTCAGTTTGGCTTAATAAAACCTACTTGCCAATAATGAGTATTTTCCTTGGCAGTGAGGCTGAGATGACAAAGCAAATCACAAGCTGGACATGGGGTAGAAGCAGACGAGTGTTCCACGTGTTCTTTCCTTACACCAGAACGAGGAGCAGAGGGGCCCTTATCAACAGGCTAATAAGCCTTGGAGTCTGGATGACCACATTTTCATGGTCCAAAAAGCAAAGTTTGAAATTTCTATAGGTACCAGTCTGCTGCATGACTACAGATCAAAGAGACCCCTTTCCGGACTTCAGGTCAGGATTCTCATTTAAGTATGTTCAGGAGAGAAGATCTCAAGAAAGATGAGCTTTAGCCAGAACTTGATCCAGATCTGCTGTACATTAAGTAGCACATTACTACAGCTGCTCTGGATATCTCAGCTCATAACCACAGGAACAGTCAGGTTGACTCACTGAAGATTTGCTTAGTGGGGAGGGCTCCCTACCAAGTCTCAGAAGAGTTATAAGGCTGGGCCAGCAACATGGAGCTCACAGCAACGCTCAGTTTAATGATGCTTTAGCTATTATCTTGAGGAAAAAATTACTTGTGAGCAGAACTTACTTTCCTTCCATAACCAGGCCCTGTGTATACGCAGACTCCACGCTTGGCAAAAGTGCAAGACTCTTCAAGGAGGTAAAGGCAGCTTATGTATATGCTCTTGAGAGTGCACACTGCATTATGGGTTGCCACACTGACCCATGGTCCCAATCAATTTGAAAGATACCAGGAGGAAAAAAAACAAAAACAAAAAATAAAAAAGTGCCAGAACATAGCACAGACTGAAAGAACTCTAGAATTAGCAAACCTTTCCTTATTTTTGGAGAAAAAGAAAAACAAAAGGAGATGAAGTAACAGAAAAATAAGGAAGAAAATAAAAGGTGAGTTAAGCTAAGGATGACAGATAAACACAGTCTAGTTTGAAGAAGAATGCAGTTAGAGTAGGTACTCCAACTCATGGCAGGTGACTTTGAAAGAAACCAGGCGAACGGGACATGATTTGAACGTCCACGTTTCAGCACATCAAGGATAAGTGGGTGATAGTTCCACCTCTCTTGGATAATATTAAGTATATAAGCACTTCTTGTCTCCAGTGTCTGTGGAACACAATCACCCATGGATTGAATTGCTATCATTTTGAAATGAAAGTGTGTAATAATTTTACAGTTTTGAAACCGATTTGCACATACTCCTGAGCAAATTATAGTGATTGGAGATTAGTGATAAACAAATGCATAAATAATTAACTACACTAATTATATTAAAAAAAATAAAAGAAATTAATAACTTCAAAAATAAAATTGACCCTTTATTAGCTAATAATAGTAGAACTTGATGATGGGCTTGAAAATATTAACACTACAGATTTTTAGAATAAATTAGACTACCTGTAATTACTTTTAACATATTCGCATTAACAGTACAAAAAAATGTAACTTTTTCTTTTTATAAAATTAAAAAACTGAGCTACCTACTAGATAGGTACTGTCAGCTACAAAATCCTGGAACAAAGTTTTTTGTTTTTGTTTTTTGTTTTATTTCATCTTAACTTTGTGCTTATTCCTAGGCACCACAAGAACGTCATCCCACAGCTTGGTCAAATGCTTCCTTATAAAGTCAACCAAAACATTACAGCAGTCTATGGAGAAGGTATCTTTATACACAATCCAGTCTACCACAAAAAAAAAAAAAAGCCCACAAGCAGTCATTTTACTTTTCTTAGAAACACTTAGAAAAGTATATGTACTCGTTGACATTCCCTGATGATCAAAACTTCTAAAAAAAAAAAAAAAAAAAATGGGAAGAGAGGTGAGTTCCTCAGTAGAAAACCCATCATAGGAAAACCCTCCCCATCTCCAGTACATGGTTATAGGATTCAAGCAGCTGGGCCACCCAGAGGAGGTCACTGAAGGGACACAAATGCTGCAGCTGGACTACAGCTGTCATAAGGACGATACGGGGGTGCATTATGGAGTGGTAAGTAATCTAGCAGTAAGGGGGTTACTGAAATACCGTACAACTTTATGCATACATGCCATCACAAATTTCGTTTTTTATTGTCCTGCTAATTTCAAAGTTTAATAAATATTAGTTTGAACACCTGGATTTTTCCATCATTGAAATGTCTATTTCTACCAGCGCAGAGAGTACTGCATTGCTTGTGTCCAAGTATCCATAGCCATTTTGTATTCTTCTGAGTCCTTTTGGGGCTCAAACACTGCTTCTACTCGTCTCAGCTTCTTTAGTTGTTCTTTGTCAGTCCATAATCCTATAAACAGAAAGTTCATTCTCAAGCTCAACTGCAAGTATGTTATTTTTGAGTTGTTTTAATTTATCTCCAAGAGATCTAAACCAGAAACACAGCAAGAAATCATGACAGTTTCTCTTTATTCAACCAACAACTTTCTCAGAGGGAAGCATATTTTTTACATTGTGAAACTCCATTCCAATAGCATCCACTTGTTTGGAATCCTGACAACAGCACATCTGCTTAACTGGGATAGTTTCCAAGGAACTGCACTGATACACTGAAGCTTTCATCAACAGCGTGCTTTCAGCCACAGGTCCCTCTCAAGTAAGAAGAGCCACAGAAACCAAGATTTAGCGCTAGTTACTTTCCTACTGCCTTTAAAAAAAAATGGATAAATGGCAGAAAACAGCTGGTGTTACCTATCCAGGTTAATGTATGCTACTGATACATTCTTGCCTATCCAGGGCTGCAGTGGACATCTTAGACAGCTTTCTTGTAGTTTTAACTGTTCAATACGTCTTACCCGAGTATGTGATTTTTATCTTGGAAGCTGTGTTATGCATATATCAAAGCAATTCAATAAAGTTAGTATCAATTCACAAAATACTAAGTAAACTATTGAGCAATGCTTTAAGTAAACCATTAGGTAAAACCGCAAGATATTTTTAGTTTTAAGTCTGGTTAATTATATACATCAATTCTGTATCAGTGAAGCTGGATTTTTTTTCTGCCAATAATTCATTTTGTACTGCCGTTGTGCTTATTTCTGAACACCATAAAGGAGGAGGACTGAGTTCACAGACGACAGGACACAGCTTCCAAGTGAATGACACGGCTGCATGCAAGCACAGCAGCTTTCTTGTCACACGGTCCATCCACACCATGCATCGCTTTGAGCGGTACTAATATGGAAAAGGATACTGAACAGGGGGGTCAGAGAAGAGGGAGGGAGCAAGGATAGGATTCGTTTCTTCCTTCTCTGGCAGGATATCCTTCTGAACACAAACTAATCTTACAAACCTACACAGAGGCACTTTTCACATAAAGCACGCTGTCACTATTCATTTATGGAAAACTAACAAGCATACCAACTGCTCAGCAAATCAGAATATTATGCTAAAAATTTACCTAAGTTCCTTTATTTGGCTTTCTTACCCCACGCTCTGTTTCTCCAGTTGACTGAATATTAGTATATGGGTAAAAAGCACCACACAAAGGTAAACACTACTTACCTTGATTTCCCTCAGAAACAGGAAAATTAATCTTTTGGTGAGATTTTATAATTATTTGAAATTATGCACTTTATCTTGATTTTTTGTTCTCTACATATATACTTTTAATAATAATAAAAAAAACCCTGTGGTATACAATATATACATACCTGATGCAAGACCTGCTAGAAAAGCTGCTCCAAGGCTAGACATATCTGCAATTATAGGCTTTTCTATTTTCTTATTTATCAAATCAGAAGTCATCTGCATGACAAAGCTATTATTACTGACACCACCATCAGCTCTATGTCGGGAGAGGGGAAGAAAAGGTAAAAAATGGGTTGAGTTCAAATGCTTACTGTCAAAGTTTTAGAAAATAACTTTTTGGTTTTCACACCTGTATATTCCTGTCACTCATGCACAAATGTGTTTCCATTTTATGGGCAAATTTAGAGGCCAGTACAAGGAAAAAAAACACCTTTAAGGGGAGGTACGGGAGGGGAAAAGGAAGACATTGTCAAAAGTTTTTGAGAGTTCAGACTCCTAAAACGATTTATTATCCTGATTGAAAATGTTAGTGTTTATAACAGAACTTTTATAGGGTTATCGCCAGGATACGATAACAGTCAAAATCATTACGTTAAACAAAGCCTTCCAAGTGTTCTCGGATCTGGAAAGATAGGGTTTTCCCATTACTAGCAAATCTTTGGACTAGTAAGCTAAAATGCCTTCATAGTTGCTTCCTTTTATCAGGAGGATGGGAATGAGGCTTTCATCTACCTTTTTTTCTATGTTCTTCCTTCTTAATTGCATCATGTCCGAGACCCTTGTCTGAGAAAACTAGAACTTATCAATGTTGATCTTTAATCCGCTAAGAATAGTTCCTAGTGATGCAAGCTAATCCCTCTTGCAGTTGAAAAACAGCTGTAACGAAAAGTGATCTTTGAATTGTCATACATTGGTTTGCTGTACCACTGGACTCTAATACTACCCAGTTATGTAGCTGTTGTTCTACCAAATGCGGTACAGTAAAGACATCAGTAGGTTGTGTACAGAAAGCGTTGTGTAAGAAGAGTTTTCTGTTGCTTAGAAAGCTTCACCAATTTAAATATGCCAGTCAAAATCTATGCTATGTGTATGCCTCAGAAAGTCTTTACATATATGGTTTGGCTGTTTCTAAAAGTGAAATCAGGAGACATTTGCCTGATTAGAGATGTTACAGGGTTTTATTTGTTTGTACATACAGTTAAGAAGTGTTATCTCCCCTACGCTTTGGAACAGAAACTTAAATCTGGCAAAGACACTTCCTTAATGTCAGTGACATGCCTTTTTCTTGTTCTGTAAAAATAAAACATCTACTTCAGAGAAGTTACAAGAGGCATACACAAGAAAGAATCTGCAAATATTCACTTGTATGTGTAGCTAAATTGTGTTGCTACGTACTTTGGAGATTCAGTCTGCAGAGAGTGCACTCTGGCTCAAAGTTCCTATGTGCCACTACATTGGGAACGTGCTATTTTCACAGAACAGCTCAATGCTGACACGCCAGGAGCCCAGTGACCACAAGGACCAGCCTTTATTGGCTGCTGCAGACAGCTACAACACAGGACATGGGGACTGAAAATACGAGGGTTCTTTCTCTGTGCTTTCCTTGCTAGTGTTGAGACAAGCCAAAGGAGTAATAGGGGTGGAGCAGACTAATGAAAAAGATAGGAGCTTCTAGAAATCAGAGGCTGGGGAGAAACAAAGGATACAGGACAACAGCACAGAGGAAAGGGACATATTTAACAGAGGATAAGAACGCATTAAGGATAAAAACAAAAATCAAAGGGAATGGACAAATATGAAAGGTGCGGGGACAAAAGAACGGGAGAGCATTTTGCAAACCCACTGAAAAAGCCATCAAGTATATCTCATTTTTCCCTAATCCTTAATCCACATGCTAAGTCGCTACTGTTCTTAAGTTACCTCTCTCATAGTCACTGCATGAAGCAGTGATTTTGTATCGAGTAAAACAGAATACGATCACACAATTTAAGAACTACATTACAACGTAAAAGAGATCAGAATTCCAAGGTTCCCTAGGCCGTCTTATTTCTCCTACTTGCACACTCTGCATTTTGCAATCTCTACTTGATTTCTAAACGGTCAAATAAGTAAAATAAGCTTCCTAAGGAATCAGAAACTCTCAATACTTTGGATCTCTACTCCTCTTCACTACTACCCCACACCTGGCTGCTTCTTCATCTTGGCCCACTGTGTCCCAGGATGTCAGGGAACATACAAACTTTTACCTCCTCCCACCTTTGTGCTTTCACCTTCCTTCCATCACTCCAAAGCCTCCTTTCTCAACCGTCTAGAGGCCTGCCAGTATTTCTTTCACTGCATGGGTATGAGAATAAAGAACACGCTGCTCTCCTCTTAGTTCTTGTCTGTGAGATCACGATGACCCCTGGCTGTCAGAAGGAGCAATTTCAGAGAGCTTTTCTCAGCACTGGAGATCACTTCTGGTAGAGACAAGCTCTGGAATGACTGCTGTTACCACTAAGCTTCCAGTAAACATGTGCAAGTTAGTTTTTCAGCAACATATAATTCGACCAAATTTTTAAATTTTTCCAAGGGGCAGTGAAAAGCATATACTAGAGATCGGGGAACCTCACTAAGTCTCATTTTCTTCTCCAAAAACTTAACCATAAAATATTCTTCATAACAGAATAGTCTTCCTCTTGCCCTCACGAAACAGAATCAAAGTCTTCAGAAAAATTCAATCTGTGACAGACGCAGCACAAAAAATCCAGTATAAAGGGGGAAAGGATTTTATTGTAAAGGGAAGAATGACCTTCACAACAGGCATTGCTATATGCACCCTAATGCTACACACAAACATATATTTGCTCTCTTGTTTTTTGTTTGTTTTTTTTTTTTAAGTCAGGGTAAGTCTTACTCACCTACTGACAGCCATCTGACAGCCAATGACTTAATTAATAACTGACCCTCCTCCAGACAGCCTCTGCCGTCACTTTTAAAGTTACATCAATATTTGACCGGTAATCATCTATTTCTCAGTGGTTACAATAACACAAAATGAACAATCAAGTTCACGTTTATTTGACACATGAGAGTTTTAGTTAAACTGACAAGTTACATGGAACTTACCGAATAGTTCGAAGAGGAATGTGCACCTTCTTCATAATGATATCATAAAGCTGTTTGTTTCTTTAAAAAAAAAATATTTAGTTCAATTAAACATTATATAAAGTGCTTCCAGTATCCACACCTTCAGAAAATAAATATAAGGCAAAAAAACCCCTCAGTTTTGTCAAAACTGCTGCACGAGCTAAGTTTCCAGAATGGGTAAATTTAAAAAAAAAAAAAAAAAAAAAGGCTGAAACTGGCCTCTGCTATGCAACATCATGACGGCACAAGTACGGCCAAATCACATTCTACAGCAAGTCACCACAGAAGCTACGCTATTCCCATCCGAAATAGATCACAGGTCTTCATAGACAAAATGCTACGGTTGATGTAACAAGCGGTGTAGAGTGAGGAAAGTAAGCTGACAGAAACGTTATTCAGGTTTAGCCAGACATCCTTTTAAAGGGAAACTCTCAACGCTGTAAATTTCACTTGTTCGGAAACCATCCCATTTAATGGTGGAAAAATCTAAAACCAAAGGGTTTCTAGCCTTTTTCTGCTCAGGTCTTTGGATGAGATTAGTTACTCAACATCTCTGTTTTTAAGACACCCATGCTCCAGTTCAGTTCCACGCCCCATCAGCATCTGTTATTTCTCTTACAGTGAAAAAAAAAAAATTGCTTTAGAAACAGTTGCAGCAAGTCAAAATGCTACCTTCCTCAAGACATTCTCTGTGCCTCTTTACTGGAGGTTATGTTCACAGCAGAGCTGGTGACTAGATGGAAGGGATATGAGTGCTCCCTAATTGGCCACCCTGCAGTGTGAGCCAGGCTCAGACTACATTCGTTTTCGGTTCCAGGCATGCCGGCTGAGTTTGCAAGGCAGAACTGATCTGTTCCACAGTCAGTTATTGATGTGATAACCTCAGTGACTAACAGTAATATCTGGAAGTTGTTTTCCATCCACATCTTGAAAGATGTTTAAGATGCCTAATACTATATTTTATAAAAGCTCAAGGATACAAACTTCAGCCAAAGAGCTAACTTCCAGCTTCAAGGATACTGTAACACAGCTGGAGTGGGCTACACAGGCTTTCTTTCTGCCAAAACATCGTAGGAAAAAAAAGGACTAGCTTTAAACAGAGAACACTGTTTAGAATATGCCAAAAACGATGTAATTTAAGGATCCTTATTTGATTACTTAATAACAAAAACTCTGAATTAATACATATACACTAGTTCATTTGTAATGTTTAAAAAAGAAGGGAAGAAGCTAAAACTCCTCGTCAGTGTTACTATAATGCGCTACTACAGTTTTTATTTTACAAATTGCCAAATTCTGTGTGTCCATTTGACACAGTTGATCAACATAAATAATGAATAGGAGAAAACATAAACAAAGTAAGCAAGCTGTACCTGAAAGCTACAGACTCCAATATAGCTCGCACAAGATGGTTTCTGGTAGTGGAAGGTTTCAGCCCCATGAAAGAGGCACATAGACACGGATCATTCACAGGAACCTACAGAAAAGGTTTCACAATGAGTTCAGTGAGTTATATTTGACGGCTTTTGAGAAAAGAGTCAAATAGTAAGAAAAAAATAACTTACGACAATTACAGGCAGCATAGTGAAAGAAGAAAATTGAAAACAATACGTAAGCAATATATAGTGTTATTTTAGCTACCCAGTGACGAGTTCAGTTTCTTTCAACAGCAAAAGTTTTTCTTGTGACTTCTAAATTCTATATACCAAATAACATGAATCTATAGGACTTCTCTTAAAAAAAAAATACAGCATAGACTTAAAGCATCTAGGACAGGGCACACATTACTGTTCTCTAGCAAGACTTCACTTTTTCTTTTTTTTATTTTTCTTCCTTTTTTTAAAACTTCTGAAACCGCTGAAAGAAAGATGAATCGAGTTTTAAATATGGCATTGAAAAGGCTGGAAATTATTTTTATTAATTTACACTACAGTGTTTTCAATGACAACAACGTAACAGATTCTGACTGAAATTCTAAGGATCACTAAGTTCTCTTTTCTTTTGCAGGAGAACTGGAGGACAGATCTATGAATCTCCTCTCCATTCCTCCTCCACTTTGGTGAAATTCATGACAAAATATAGTTCGCTGGTTCATAATCAGTTTGTGACAACATTAAATCTCCCACCCATTCTAGTATGTTTTTCGGGTTTTTGTTTTTTTTTTTAAATTGCAACAAACTCTTCCGGCTGTATTCTGTTAGATGTCAGTTATGACAACACTGACCAGACGTTCGAATTTCACGTGTGTGAAACACACACATACACTTATAAAATAAATAAAGAAAATGCTAACATATGTAAAAATAAGTATGTATGGATAGGTATATATGCAGCAGCCCAATCACAGAAAGTGCTGAACTACCACTTGCTCTTACATGGTACGTGATCATGCTCAGCAACTACCAAAAAACCAGGGGGCAGGGGGAGGAGACAGCTAGTGGTCAAAAGGAAAAAATCGGCATTTTATAAAAGCATCTAAATCAAAGAAACTTTTGCGTTTCAATTCAAAGAAAACAATCTGGTTTTTCATGTACAAGTACTCTTCCCATTCCGAGTGGGACCACTTGTCCAGCCCAGTAGCCTAATAAGGATCCATCGTTTCCAAGTTTACAGATTTTCATATACGAGGTAACACATCAAAAAGAAAGGGCTCATACTCAGCGAGTACCTGGAAAGAAGCACAGCCCCCCACCCCCAAAAGCCAATTTATAAATTTGTGCATATACATGCATGCCACACAACAAAAAGCCCTAAGTTTTTGCCACTAGTATCAATCCCAGCAAATCAAGTCTGGAAACCCGTTTCTAGAAGAATGAGTAAGAAGAAAAAAAAAAAGATTAATGCACATGTTTAGTTTCATATATACCTCCCTAAGGATGCTCCTCTCAGTGTACTGTACCACAGCAGTATAATTCAGTAAGAAACAAGCACACTTCTATTACATTCACACGGATTAGTAGAGAACATTTTATTCTATGAAGGAAACGAACACGTGGACTTCATACAAATTCTAACCACGGTCATTTTCAGGTCTAAGAAACATACAGTATAATCAAATTTGGGTTAGAATCTAGCTAGTGAAGTAGAATAGATACGTTACAGTTCTAGAAGCATTCAGCTCTGTTCACGTCCCTTTTCATACCATTTAATCCATTAAGTTTTCTAAACTGATCCAGATAGCGCTACAGTGAGTCTACTTGCTGTGCAGGTCCCACCAGGATAAGGAGGGCTTTTAAAAGGCAAAAAAATCCACTCTGGTGGATCCTATTATTGGTTACTAGGTAACAAAATTAAAGAGAGATCTTTTCAGAGTTTTTCCTAAGCACAGTTCCTAGATTTGTATTAGGCTTATCAGAGTTAGTTAAGAGACTCAATAGATGTTTACCAAGAAGTTAGTTGCAGTTCCTTCTGGAGACAGATTACCAAGAAAGCAGGAAAAATCCCACAAATCAACAAAAGGAGGCTTTACTAACTTCTCTGGACCTTGAATATTAATCGAATTAGAGGTTCAGAGAAGATTCAGACCAGCATTTGTCTACCGCAGGATTCTTGTTGACAAATACAGGAATTTGTGCAGCTCAACACTTGCTTTTTCAGAACTAATCACAGTATAAACATCACATAGAAGCATCTTAGCTTAACCAAGCATTATGCTTCTAAAAATAAAATTAATGATTAAGGTAACTGTTTGAGACAAGGGAGCTGGGCTCTCTGTAGAGGAAATTAAACTTTCCTGTGCCTTGTTCCATTAAAATATAGGTAATGTTAAGTCTCAAAAACCAAACAAAAAAAACCTGCCACACAAAACCCCCACAAACCAGCCAACCAACCAACCAAGCCCACCACACACTAGTCCTGGGAATGATCAAGTCGAGCATGGCTGACCAATGAAAAAACAAAAAACTACCTTTGGATCTACATAAAAAGATGAGATGCCAAAAGCATCTATGCAACTTTGAAATGTATGTATTCAAGCTAATGAATTGCTATCTTAGACTTCTAAGAGAAAACGGAAAGTGGTAATCTTTGAGGGAAGAGAAAACAACCAATGTTCAACTTAATGGCATTTCCTTACCTAGTGGGAGAACACAGTAACACTGATTGGTTCAAACCAGTATCACTTGCCTATACATCATGCGCGCCATCAACACCCTGTTCCAGCACATAAATAGCTTTCCCTTCTTCCTGTCTGGTCCTTCTGTTTAAAGTTTGTAACACTAATATTCCAAATGACAACTTAGCCACCAGGTTCTACAACACAAAATTTCTCCTCAACCGTCATACTGATTAGAAATGTAAAAAACAGTATTCTGCAGAGATGAATTGATATCATCATGCTGGCAAGGGAAAAAGCTAGGCTGATGTGTGTTCTCAGTCAGATTATCTCACATTGCTTAGGGAAGTAGCGTAACTAGATGAACAACTTTTGGAACTCTGCGCAACACCTAGACTAGCAACAGCTGCATTCGAAAAAAATATTTATTTCCATTTTGTACAAAGGTTTGTCTAACAGCTGTGACTTACAATTCTGTCATATTTTGTGGTGACAAATCGCTAACTATTATTACCGACCGACAAGTCTATAAGGGAAGCAACTGCTCTGTAGCTGAATAGGTAGTATGTCAACTCCTCAGGTATTGCAATTTGTCATTTAATGTATTAACCGAAAATTCCCATCAATTACATTCCAAACTGATATGCTAGACTGAACTGCAGCATCAATATCACCCTTTGTTGCCTCTGCACAAGGACAGTAACTCAGCTCCACAACCAAGCCTGAGAGGGATCACAAATCAGGGATGGGAAGGACAGGCATAAGAATACACAGTTTCCAGCGTAAGCAGAAGGTAAACAGAAAGCGCCCAGAGCTTGCGGCCTAAAGGGAACAAAGTAATCGCAGGAAGTCCCTCAAACAAAGAGGACGTGAGGAAGCTATCGAGAAAGAGAGGGGAGCAAAATGGAGAACAAACACCAGGAACTCCTCATTATATTCATCGTGGTCAGTAAAAAGAGCAACAAAGCACAAACCCCGTAGTACAAAAGGGGAATATATAATTCAGATTAAAATCAGGCACGTCGAAAAGCAATCTTACTCATATTTAAGCACTCTGATGAACTGCAACCTACATGCTGAAAAGAGGCAGAATAAAACTTTAGCCCAGTGCTTCGGAAGTAAAATCTCAGCAAAGGCTCTGCATGAAATAAAGCTATGGGTTTGTTTTCTCTCTCTGTAGACACTGCCTGCATTTACTGTGGGGATGTCGCTTAGTTTATCTGTCCGTCGGTTCTCCATCGGCAAAACGGAACTAATTTTCCTAAGTTTTTTTCTTGGGGTGGGAGATTTTAAGCATTCAGATACCACAGTAATCTGCATGTGCTGTGGTGAGAGATACAGCCTAAGATCCTGGATACAGCACAGGTGATAGAATGCATGGTGACAAGATGCAAATTACTCTATGTAAAGAGGCTATAAAAATCCAATTAAAAGTATAACTTTAGAATATATTCTTAATTATAGTAAGAGTAACAATTTTACCTGAAAACTTGGAACAAAACAAACGCCTTGAGAATCAACAATACTCCGTGCCATTTTTGCTGTTTCATCTACATTGGTGAAAAGATCTGTAAAGATGCATAGGTCATACGCTTTTACTGTTTACTTTGATTTCTTCATAAATTAAGAGACAAAAATCTAGAGTTAGACTATTTCCTTTTGTAGTATTTCTCAAACCAACACATTCTAAGGGAAACCAACGCTCCTCCTGTATTTCATTTCCATCAGTAACATTTAAAACAAATCCTATTTACACATAGACTAAATTCAAAAAGATACTCCCCTGTCTTTTATGCTATAGCCTTTTAGTCCTCACATCCTGTAAGAAGGCCATTAGTTTTCTAGACAAACAGATATATATGGGAATCAAGAAGGCTAACAACAGCACTCTATAATTACATTAAAAACCTAGATGTTGCAAAACAGAAAGCACTTCCTCCCAGGATGCTGTTGTCAGCCCAAGCACGAAATGACTACAGACAAAGTTCTTATTACGGACCATCTTTTATCAACAGACTTTTTTTTGTTTTAAAATGACCGACACCGAAGTACAATTAAGGAAGGTCCTAATACCAACCTTTTTATAGACATTAATTTTAATCGCCTTTCAGCCTGATGCCTCTCCCTTCCAAACTATCTACAGACATCGCCTCTTTAGCTCATTCTTCACCCAGAGGCAATTCTCGTACGTACATCCACCTTCTACAGTATAATTACTAATTTCCTTATGTGGAAAGGAAATGTTATTTTTCATGTTTTACAGAAGACTAGATAAGTGAAGTCTATTGCTTTTTCTTGTAAATTCTCCTATCAAAGACAGTTTAATCTAGCTCAATTTACCCTTGGAAAACCTATTTTGGCAATTTACCATGAGTTTCAATTTACTCCCGTATCATTAATAAATTTATTTGAATGCACTGCAGTCTACAGGGCTAGGACTAAACCACATCTTTTTCTTTTTGTTATAGTTGCTGTTATTGACCTATATAGTACCACTACGGCAGAAGAGAGAGTGAAAAAAATAATTAACAAGAACTTCACCTTGCAATTTCACACATCACTTCTTTGAAACCCTTGGACAGAAGTGACCTGACCCCACTACAAGCAGCCCATTAAACGAAATTCACCGTGCGGCAGAAATTCCTATCTCCAAACCTTTGCTCCTACTGCATATTTCACCTTCACTCATGTGGCGGCTCATCATCCTTACTGAAAACTCGGTTCTGAGGCCATCGGCTTACCTTAGGTTCTTGCCCAGGCGTTTCTGTAGAGCAAAAGTTTTACCCTTCTTTTTAGCCGCAAAGCTGACGAACTTCTGTACTTGATATCATTTCCTATCCTATACTGGTCCTTCCAGTTAACATTCCTATAGATACATGCTTTCTCTTAAAACACTTAAAATTCAGCTTCTCTGCAAGCATATATCAGAAAATAAAAATCTCGCTTATTTAGACAGTTTATAGGAACATGTCTACTTTTTTTTCCCCTCCCTCCGCAACTTTCAAAATTTTTGCCTACGCTAGTAACAGTAGGTCACTTCCATATCAGTACTGGCTGGCTGAAAACCCATTCATACCACTTGCCCTGAATATGCCAATAATAGCCATGTGAATTTTAGCTGGCAAGCTTACACCTGCAGAACTGATACCTTGTATCTGCAGGAGTGAGCTGCGTGTTGAACTGAGTAATTTCCTCGGAAGACTAGCGGCTGTTACTCCTTAGGCTCAGTCAAAAGCTGAATGATGAAGACCTGGGGATCAACCTGAGTCATACTTAATCCCTAAGGGCACATACTTGTGTAATTACGCACACATACGTAGGATTTCGGAGTGAGCTGTGCTTCGGAAAAACCTTGCTCAGATATTCCAAAATTTGGAAGACTTATTCCTTCTTCGCATCCCAGTAAGACATACTAAATTTCCAAGCAAACCAAGTAGATTATCAGAACACTGAGAAAAGTTGTCCTGTAAACAATCAGCGGTTCTGAACATCAACTACTAGAGCACTGGCACTTTTCTTAGTCTTTAACTGCTATGCAAATCTTTCCATTATAGAATAACTACAGCCAAAAGACATACTACTTCCATGTGAAGTAACGCGTACAACAAGGTTACTCCTAAGAACAAAGTTCTTTAAGTCACGTTCATATAAATCAAATCTGTTGATTAATTCTTGAGATGTATAGCTACTGTTCTCTCAAAAGCATTCTACCAGTAACAAGCTTTAACCTAAACCCCATCCAACAGAAGATGAACTGTAACAAGGAAAGCCTTAAGGCAAACGCTTGTGGAATACAGCATTTACAGTCATGCTACCTGGACTTCAGTTTCCATGCTTCTTCTCAACTAAAAATTTAAGTCCAAATAATAGGAAATAGCACACCTACTAAATTCAGAAAAAAACCCTCTGCCTTGCACAAGTCTCCTTTACACAATTTCTCGCTGAAGTTTGTCATGCTCAGGATAATGCAAGCAAACAGTAAAATATTTCAGGAAAATAAAAGCTTACATATGTAAGGAGGGAGCGAGAGGTTGAGAGTGTGAAGAACAGGAGACTATGCAAAGCCAAGACATTAACTGTGTGCAAACCAATCCGAGGTATTTTAGGAGAACAGAAGACAATTCTACTTCATTAATCAGTTTTAGTTTTCAAATAAAGACGACTTACAGTAACACCTAAACTGTCTACATGCTTTCAGCACAGAACCTACTAATAAGGTTGTGGATTTTCCAGTGTCCAAAACACATAGGCTAGTTTCTTCAACCGCAGATAATAAAGCCAAGACCAATATCATGACTACAACCCAATAAGGCAGTTTCTTAAAAACAATGCATTTTACCCTGCTATAAAATTAAAAAACTACTTACTTATTTCCTGTGCCCATCTTACGGCAGTACCAATGTTCGATATAGAGCCTTCAGTTAAATAAACAACTTCTTCCCCAATCTTCCAACCAATCAGCGGATATAAGGCTTAATTATTTTCCATAAAACAAAACAAAATACCTAATTAAGTTAAATGCTTCCAGAAAAAACATATACAAACACCCCCAACAATAAACCCAATGGAAACGCAGTTTTTGTTCACTTCCTTCACCAAATTCAAGCTAAAACATCACTGATACAGGTTAAACTGTTTGTTTAAAGTTTACAAAAGACTTGAACATTAATTTATTAAGCCAAAGTCAAGCTAAAAATCACTATCCAATTACAAAGAAAGGTCTTTAAGCTAAAGAGAAGAGCTACTGGCACTGACATTTTCAAACGTAAACTTTAATTTAAACAAATTAAATAAGAAATTGTATATGCCCTTTTTAAAAAGTATCAACTTTATCCTATCCTGTTAAAATCCATCTAGTTCTCCTCAGTGCTTTCTAAGTCTGAAATGTCTTCTCCGAAACATAAAACATGAGGGTCGGGCTTCCAGATAGGAAACGGACGGATACTAAACAGACATATAAACAAAGATAAAGCAACACAAACTTATAACATAGATCCTATTCACAGGAGAGGATGAAACAGTGATATACTTTCTAAATTCCTTTTTCAATATACAGTGCTTTTTCATACAGAAAGCAAAAAAAGTTTCATGATTTGTTCATCACTGCCCGCGAAGGTTACTGCCATTAACTGTAACATTTTACCTACGTATTTGCCTAATATAAAAAAAAAAACATAACACACACAAAACCCCAAACTCATTAAAAAAATCCGGTGACATGCCTTGTCTGCAGCTACAAAACATTAGCACCTCCAAGATTTACATGAAGGGATCTGCAGGACGTTACGATTTCCAATAGATAGTTTTGGCTTTGCAGTAGTTCAGGAAAAAAGCAATATTTTTTCCTCCTTTTCTCTAAGTAAAGTAGAAATACAGAGGCCAAACTCTTAGTTTATCTGAAACTATACTACAGCAACTTCCAAAGAGTTGTCTGCTGGAAGGTACTATCACATTTAGAAATAAACAATAACGAGGATAAACCTAATGATTTAGTTCTTTCCCCCCAAGGAAGTGTTGAAACCTTATAAAAATAAATAAATCAAGACTTATTACTTCAACACTCAATCTGAACACAAAACAACTTCTTTGACATGTTAGTAGACACAGAACAAAACATGTTAGAGAACACAGAACAAAAGCCCCTGCAGAACATCTCAGCTTTACTTTGCAACAGGCATAGCTTCAAAAATTTGAAGCCTTCAAATTCAAATAGAAAAGAATACCTTTGTCAAATAACCTTTTCACAGCACGTCAGCTGTATGGTTAGGTATGACAGAAAACAACTGCCTTCAATGCTAAAGCAAAAGGACTTAGTATCTAGTTGGCCAGCGGATGTTTTCCCAGGTCTGCAGCTCAACAAATTGTTTCTTCACGTGGTCACTGCAATAAAACCTTCACAAGGCACAAGTACCACAACTGTCTTTCAAGGCCAACTTGGAGTAGAAAGAGCATCCAGACCGTAACTGACCCTGCTCAGGACTCAGAGATCATGGGTAATGCAACAAAGAAAACTGAGTCCCAGGAACTACAGGACCAGAAAAGCATCACAAGGATCTCGAAATTCTCTCTACTCCTTGCTAAGTACCCAAGGTATTGTTGTTGTGGCATATCTCCATCATCACAAAGTTTGTGTTTGTTTTTTGCAAAGCTGCAGAAGCACAATAAAAACATCCAAAACCTAGAGATGTAACTGTTCCCTCCTTACTAAATCTTGAAAAGCTCTCAGCTTGTTGACCATGGTTTGGTTATTTCATTTAGGAATAAAGGAAGAAAACAGATGTTGGCCACCATCATCCATATCCACTCCTTGCTTTATTTCTATCCGGTACAGCAGTAGTAGAGAAGAAAATAACTTAAGCGTTAGGGACTGACAAATCTGGGACTTAAGGGTTTCTCTCTCTCCTAAAGGGTGACTAGGGCCAACACTGGTATCCTTATACTTACAGGTCACGTGAGACAAGTAATAGCGCCCTCCAGGAACTTTCTCAGGGAGAATTTGCTCATATAGAAGCGTCTCTCATCTTTAGTTTGCTTGCTTATCTCCAAATGAATGGCACGGTAGAACTGAAGCACCTTCAGAAGCTTGGTTAGTGCTAGAGTCATTCTGCTGCTTACCAGGAAAAATAATCAGTCGGCACTATTTAGATTTAAGTTTGCCTCCTGATTAGAAAAAGTGATAAACATCTCTCCTGATCATTGGTGCAGGTCTCCTTATAATCCTTATTTGCTTTTGAAAATGAAGCTATGAAGAAGCAGGACCCAAGAACCCACTGAGCCAAGAGTGCTGGAGAAGAACAGTTAATCAGGGACAGACAAGTCTATTAGCTGGCCTTTCTGAAGACACTCACACCGAAGTTTCTAGTAGCGTAGCATCTAATCTACCTCTATAGAACTGATCGATAGACTGACACATTATTTACCCAAGGAGAGAAAGCACTTGGCAATATCACAGTTAATCAAAACTATCAGACTGCTGGAGAGGTAGATTTTAAATCTATACCTCATGCTGCCATCACAGAATTGTGAAAAATATTATTACTTGAGGAATTGGGTTTTTTTTTTTTTTTTAAACTATCACATATACCAATTACATGTAGATCAGAAATTAGAACAGCAGCTAATGAGCAGCTCCATGCAGGAGGATTCCATAGGGATTCATCTTGCAGTCTTAAATACATATGTCAACTTTAAAGATAGAACACAGATTACATTTCATACTCAGGGCACTGAAAAAACTAAGTGCCTACCTTGTCCTATTAACCTTTGTCCCATGCCACGTGACAGCCACAAAACAGGGGAAAAATAAATTTTAACACAAGTAATGTAGCCTAAAGCAGTACACGTTTCATAGCATCGACTTACAAGATTTCAACTCCTAGCAGATCACAATAGCCAAAGGTTTTCTTAAGACAAAACAAAGTGGAAAAACCTTATCATATGTTTTTCTATTACATTTCTATGGACTACATGAAGTTGAATACATAAGCAGAAATATCATCATAATGATATAATGAATTAGCCTAAAAAGTGCTTGGATTCATAACAAATTAAAAGTCAGCGCTACTCAGTTTTGATATATCTCAGGTATTTGCCAGGTCCCTTCCGACTCTAGCTGGTAAAAGTCTCCTGAGTATCAGTCCCCATCCCATTTTACATTGTAGGCTTCTAGAAATCAATCACTGCTTAAAAGTATGACAGACAGTGAGAGACAGGGTGTGCAGGCAAATGTAATTCAGTATCGGCTGTTGCTCTCTTGATAAATAGCCACCTACAACAAATGAACAAGCCTGACAGAACACAAATGTTCACAACTACAAAATTTTAACACGCTAGAAAGACAGTGGGGAGCCTATTTCTAGCATTTTAAAGGAAAAAATAATTGGTCATCCTGCATATCTCACCACAGGCACTCCAAAACATAAGGGCTCAAGAAGTGGAACTTACAGCCATCCACTGGAACACTGTGATCTAAGATGACAGAGGACCAATACCCTTTTTCTCCATTCCTGTACTGTATAATACTGCTATGAAGAAACAAGGAGAAAAGAGGAGCGCACAGGTGCGTGCAAAGAGGAGAGAGAAGAACAAACAAGAAAAGATGCAGGCAGCTGACACAATTACTACTGATACTATTCAAATTTTCTTCTTGAGAAGTGTATTTCAGGACAACCAAAATTTACACTTCTCATTACATATTTCCACAGTCTTCTGTTCTGACAAAGTTTTCAAGCTGTCTTTCTACAGTTAAAGACACAAGGAAAAGTATGACTGTATTTTATTCCTTTTTGTCATTAAGAGCTGAAAAGTAACACTAAAATATCCTAAAAACAAAATTTCACCAGATTACCTCTCCATGATGCAAAGAGATTCCCCCCAGTATTGACGTTCCAGAAAGCACCTGTTCCCATAGTCAGTTTAACATCTCCAGGGTGAAAGCAGCATTCTCCAAACATGGCTGCCTGCTGGTCAGCTACCTGCCATACAAACAAACCAAAATACTACCAAGTTAACGACAAATCCATACAGATGCTGGATTTTAAAATATCAATGTAACCGTTTCGGAGTTTTGAATATAAATAACCATTCAGAAATGAACTGAGCATTAAGACTTTTATCCAACTTCTTAGATATTCGTAGGCCCTTCTAACAGACACATGAATCACTAGAATTCAGCTATATGAGGTTTAGACTCTGTATGAATTTTTGCAGCATTATTTGCAACACTGAAAAATGCGTTATGGAAACAAATGCGTTTTAGCATTTGACAAGAAGGATAAATAGGGATTTTGCAATCTCAGGGAGCAGAAGACAGTCGCTCGGCTTGAAGTCCTCTCCCCCCGAAAACAAAGTTGAAGTTTTGAGGTCTCTACTTCCTTTTTCCCTGCTTCTACTCTTGTACCAAACCATTCCATGCTCATTTTTCCAACAAAGACGACTGCTAAACGTATTTGCTGCTGTCTGCTTCTTAGTGAAGCAATTAAATTTACAAGTAAGTTGAGTTTACAGTTCTTTTAAAATAGCAAGAGGAGTTCATATTAAATAAGACAGATGACATGTTTTCCATTTAGCTCAGTTCAAACAGATTTTCTGACAAGCTATGACCTCATAAAAATAATGGGCTTTCCTCATCCAAATCCTAACTACTGCGACAAGAAAATACTATTCTTAACGTATTTTAGGGAGGAAAGACGAAGGAAGAAAGTAAAAGAGGATCTATTAGCAAATACTCTTAAAACTTGTGTAGAGTCCTACTGAAGTCAAGCCAGAATAGATTCCACTGCAAAACCATTTACAGAATAATCATTTTAAGGTCAAAGAGCAGCTCGCAAAGAATGCAGCTCTGGTAAGTCCTATGTTCAGTACTTAATCATATGTTCATCTTACCTTTATGGACCTTAAACTCTAAAGGTCTCTTTTCATTCTCTGCTCTTTTCTCTACTCCTTCCCTTAAGTTGGGAACTGAGTTTTTGGAGCAAAGTTCAACAACCAATTCTACTGTAGTTAAGTCATAAAGCAAAAACAGAGAACACCTACTAAATAAGCAATCACTAGATCCGAGCTAGGCAGAAAGAATATAATTACAGAAATATAGATTTACACAAGAAAACTTTCCACTCACCAATGCCAGTATTGGAACAGGTACCCCAAAAATTTCAGAGTCAGATGATCCAAAGTTGAAGCTTAAAACAAACATTAAGGAAAAACATCATAGCATTGACTCTTTTGTGAAACCAAAACCCTAACAACATAAGGACTGAGGCTGCATCGTACATGGAAGGCAATGCTACTGATTTATTTTTAAGGAGCACATTAAAACAATCACTTTAAGAAAGACTTGGCAAAAATAAAAGTTTTGGATACACTTTTAGAAAGATACAGCTGCATACAATCATAGTATAATTTATTTTGGTGTATTTATATATTACTTTGTGCAGACGACATAGTATTTTTCTAAAGTCAGTGAATTTAGTAGGTATCATGTTCTTTTGAACACGCCTTCATAGTTACCTTGTGTCTTTCACTGGAGGATAAATAGACATTGGTATGGAAAGTAACCTAGACAAAGTGGGGTTCCAACATTTCTGAAAAGGAAAAAGTAAAAGTGTGAGTGATTCTCTCAGAAGTACAACAAACAGCAATAACTTCTTTCTGAACAACACGTACCGTAAAGGGTTCAAAAAGCCCTGTAGAACTGGCGTTTGAGTAATCTGTAGCATATACAGAACCTACAACAAAAGAGGAACAAAATAAGATTTTACATCCCTAAATATTTAAGAGTCCTTTGAAATATTTTTTTCTAAAAATCTCAATGGTTCCCATTAAATATAAACTCAGTTTCCACAGGCATAAACTCATCATGATGCCATAAACATATAAAACAGAAAGTTTACCTCTCTCTCCTTAAAATAAACATGTATAATTACCTCATTTTTGCTCATATTTAGTGGCCCAGAAGAGAGCTGATGCTCTTGACAACGTGAAGAACACTGATTGCATCAATGTCTATTATAATCTATACAATTGCTCAGGCATTAGCCCTCACACAGGTAATTATTCTGGAATAAGACCCTATAATTCTTCTGGATTTGTGACAGGATTCTACAATATCCCGAACGTCCACTGTTCGGGCCCTGCAAACGCAGCCGAGTTCAGACACTCACTGCTTTTCCCCCATCAGAATATCTGAAAGACCTAATAATTTAAAAATCAAGATGACTGGGGGGGGCTGGATCACGACGTACCTGGGGAGGCTTAGGGAGCTGGGTTTGTCCAGTGTGGAGAAGAGGCAGCTAATGGGGTGGAGGTGGGAGAACTAACTGCTGTCTTCAGCTACCTAATGGGTGGCTTTAAACACAACAGAGCCCGACTCCTCTCAGATGTGCGCAGTGGAAGGACAAGAGGCAACAATCACAAGCTGCAGTAAGTGAAATTCCAGTTGGATGTAAGAAAAAGAATTTAAAAATGTGTGTTGTTAGGCACCTGAACAGGTACCCAAAGAGGTTATGGCATTTCCATCGCTGGATGTAATCAAAGCTAGACTGGAAGAGGCCCTGAGCAACCTGACCTAACTTTGAAGATAGCCCTGTTTTGAGCGGGAAGTTGGACTGGATGACCTCCAGAGATCCTTTCTAACTTAACTTTTCCCACAACTCTATACATGTTTCTGCCACCTAAAGCCTAACATTTGATGGTAAACTACACAGGCCTAATTCCTTCAGCCTCCACTAGTAATATCTTGATCTCAGTTTAGTTTCTGAAAATTGCCTCCCTCTTGAGTAACTAATTATGAACAATTCTTTATTCTTTTGCACTCATAGGTGCCTTTCTTCTATCAAGGCTAAGGAGAAGTTCTCATCTTCTCCTTCAAATCTTAAAGGTTTAAGAGGTGACCATACTGAGTAATTCTTTCCCTTCCTGACTTCCCTTTCCAGATAGGCCCAAAGAATAATTAATTCGGAATTATTTTTAAACAGTAAACTTCTCGCAACATTCATCAATTATAACAAAAGCAAAACTGTCTAAACATATTTGAATTCTAGGAAATAACAATGATACGTAACGAACGTGATTGCTTAGATTCCAGTATGTTTTATTCACGTTTAAGAATGACTCTAACGTTCACCTTTAGTCAGCCTATACAGTAACCATGTGTCAACCGTTCCAAAGCAGCAGTTATTTTTTTTGGCAGCTTCTTCAGCCTGGGAACAAATAAACATACAAAAGAGCGTTCGCAACTGGATATTATAAGATGAACACAGTTCCCCACTCCTTATCTCATTTTCTTCATGGGTAATATTTACGGCCCTAGAGAATGCGTCTCCAATTGCCAATATTTCTTCTAACAAGGATGATCCTGCTATAAGGAGTGCTTTTTCCCCCCACATCTTACTTAACATTATCCTCCAGAACTACTGTTCTTGCTCCTAACAGAGGATAAACAGTTTCTTTCGGTGGTGGCCAAGAAAAGAAGAGCGTGTACTTCATCTACCGCAGTGGCATCAGAGCTCTAAGAAGGGAAACTTTTTAGTCACAGTTATAACAGTGGTGGAGGAGTGGTGAATAGAGAAAACATGGTCCAAAGAAGATCGCACTTTCTTTAAAAGTAACAGAAATAGAAGGAATAAGTATATATTAAAATATGCACTTGAGAATCGAAAAAGGCATAGGTCCATCACCTTCTGGCTAATAATGTTTGTAGAGTCCAAAAACATTTTTTTCTGATTTTTTCTTTAAAATAGGAAATTCAGGTTTCAGCTAATTTTTACCAATTGATACTGTATACAGCTGGAGAACTCAGAAGGAGAACATACAAGCTAATTCACATAGAACATGACTGAATGGATTTTTCTCTGTAATTAAGAGCCAGAAATTTTGAGTTTCTAGGTTTGATTTTCATCTACTTTAAATAGCAATGCCTAAGAAACTTATGGGAGAAAGTTCATCTTATGCTGAAGACTTAGCAGCTGCATATCCTCCAGTTCTGCAGTTTCATGAATTCATACCTCGCGTTTTCAACAGGTCCACCAACACACCCAGGTAAAAATTACATTTGACGTTCTCAGTAGTTTTATGACAGAAAATACCAGACAAAACTCAAAAAAAGATTTTTTTTTCCTTACACAGAAAAAAAAAGAAAGAGGATACTGCTTTATAAAAAAAAATTGAAAATTAACACACAATTAAAAACGCCCACAAATTATTAACATAATAAGAAAAAAAAAAAAAAAACAAAGACAAGGGTAAGGATTATAGCTAAAAGTAAAGCAACAATTAGCTCAGAGAGTACTCAGTCTACAGATTATTCCAGCATAAAGTGGAATAAGGTGGACTAGAAAGGTAATAGTGCCGGCTGAAAATCAGTTCAATTACCATAAGAAACTTGAGCGCAAACAACTTCAAAACAAAGTACAATTATTAAATCTAAGATTATATGAAGTAAAATAAAGCAAATTAACTGATTTGATTATGTTCCTAAACATGAAAAAATTTCCTACTATTATATGTTTTCAGACTCAGAAGGCAAAAGTTGAATAAAGGGGAAGAGATATTTTATAGACAGATACGCTTCAAATGCTACAGAGATAAAAAACAGTCTTTCATGCAGGTTTATTTGAGGAAAAGAACAAGTAAAACAAAATTGAACAGGTTACAAGCAAGCCAAGTCACTAGCCATTATTATAACTGAAAAAGGTTATTATTTTTCTTCTTACAACTTACCTCATGTATGTTTTTAAACACCCATGACAACTTCATAGAAGCTTGTTGTGTTGAAAAAGTGAAAACACTTGGAGCCAAGTATCGATCACTTCCAGTCAAGAAATGAAGCACTGTAAAAATAACATGGACTACCTGTTTCAAAGGAAAAGAGTTATTCATTTTTTAATCTCTTCTTTTAAAGGTTTCCGATTCATCTGTGTTATCATCCTTAAGCAGAACGGAAGGAGCTGACATAATATTAGATCAGAATGCTAAAATTCTCTTAGAGAATCATTACGCATACAGTGTTCAAAAGGGCTCCTGATTCTAATGGCTAGAGCACTACTGCAGAGAAGAGGAGCTGCACTAACCAAGTCTGCTTCACTGACTTCTACTGGCACACTGCTAGAGACTGGTCTGCATTACAAAAGGTACTTCACCTGCATGACTACAACATGCAATATGGTTGGTAAGAGTTGCATACCATCACTCCAATGAAAGTGCCCCTAGAACAGACAGCCTCGATCATGTTTTAATAGCGATGTTAATCAAGTTCTCTTTCACCAAAAAAAATCAGTAGCAAAACCAAGAATATAACTTATTATTGCGGATGTGCTAGTAGGATACTTACAGAAAAGTAACTTCAGTTTTTCCACTTAAAGCGAACCTTTCTCTTTTAAAGGTAAGAAGCACAAACCGTAAGCCGCATAAAACTTGCCTTCTCCAGATAATCTGAACAAAGTGTACATAAAAAAAAAAAAGTCTACCCAAAACATTGCCAGCCAAGAACTAGCTACATCCAAAAACTATGCCATAACAGTATTAACATGCAAACTTTTAATATAGCAAAGAGACTAAGTAACAAAAGTAACAAAAGGTGCGACAGACCTGCAAATATCTTTTCCCATAATTAATTATCTTCAGGCAATCAGCACTGCATTTTTTTCCTGCTACCATTTCCCACACTCATCTTGCCCAGTTTCTTTTTAATTGTTTTTAAGCCACAGCATGTTAAAAGGATATTTCCAAGATTTCATATATTGCCCTTGCTCTTCATAAAATGAAACTGCTTAAATGTGTTCAAAGCAGTATCTATCTTAGACAGTACAGTTTTACCTTCAACAGAAGGGACCTATTCCAGGAATTCACAAGTTCGGCACTTCTCAAGTCTTGCCAGCTTATAAAATTATGAAAAGGTTTCCCTGTCCTCCTAAAAAACAGTATTTGAACGTTCCCATTAGAAACTACAGGAAATACTCTGTCCAAAAAAAAAAAATCAACATCATGCACTATTTCCAATAAGGACATTTAACACTAGTTCGATTTTTAAAATAAAAGCATGACTTCCTGCTAGATTTGGGTTAGTAATAGACACTTGACCATCCTCAGTGTAAAGCTTCTCACCAGAATTAGATAGCAGAAAGAAAAACAAAAAAACATCAATTTTTCCACAGTGCCAAGCACAAAACAAAAAGAGCAAATTTCTAAACTGTTCTGAAGTGCTTTAGACTGTCTCTGTACAAACACAGCAGAAAATGACTGATGTTTGCTGCTCCAGGTTGTGGCTTGACTTGAAGCTGAGGATTCCTACAAGTGTTTCCATCCAGTCTACGGCATGAACATGAACTCATTTTAACCAACACACTATATACGTACTTGTGCCATGTAATGAAAGTTGACCTCTGGGTTGAGATGCCAAGACCAGCAATTTGCCTCATGTGAAGTCCTGCAACTAAAATAAGCAAAAAAATGCAATAAATTAAAGGAACTGACAAAAATACCACATTTCTAATATAATAATAAGTGTACAAAATGCTCAGGAAATTTAATAGAATATAGAAGTTTACAGCTGGGCCAACTGAGTGACCAGAGCAGACCTCAGAGCCAGACTAACTTATTCCAAAGCAGATAGATAAACCTATATATCTTATAAAAGCAATTTTTGCGCACCGATACCTTCCACCTTTGGGAAGGCCTGTCTTTACGTTATCTGAACAATCCCAGAGAGAGGCAGGCACAAAAGCACTACAAATATTAGGCCTCCAGAGCAGAAATCATAAAAAAATGTGGCTTTCACGGGGAAAAACGTGAGTGAAAGCACAAAAGAGGAAGGATAAGTATCTTTACAAACTTAAAAAACACCTCTCAGAAGAAGGAAAAAAATTCCATAAACAAAACTTGATTGATTCCGTAGGCAGTAAAGAGATATGTCTCAGTATATCAGGATTTTGGAGAACTGTTTTTGATAATGACATGTCTCACCTTAAATACTATATTCCTTAAGTAATTTTTTAAAATTCTTAAGAACAAGTTTGCCTAAACAACACATCACTGAAAGGACTAAAGCATGCTTTGTATTCAGAGGAACTAAAGCGTACATTTGACTATACACTGATTCTGCTGATACAAACAGTCAAACAAGCATTTCAAAATATAGTTTCTAATGCATCTAACTTTAACTAGTTAAATTTGTCCCCAGCAATCCTCAAAGAAGCTCTGGTCAGCTTCCACAGTATTTCCATGCACGCCTGCAAAAGCAAAACTACATGAAAAGAAGACACATTAAGAAACTCGCCTTAAACAAAACATAACCTACTTTGTTCAAAGTACTGCTACCCTGAAGATCTCTCAACCTATTCATCTGAGCAAATCATTAGTTAACAAGGTCCTGTTCATACACGTTCATGTGATAAACTGCATGTACAGAGTTATTCGCTTCCATAAGTACTTATTGTAGACCCTATCAGCGACAACTAAAGATGTTATTTCGTAGAGGAAGGGGACATGCTGCTCTGCCTGCATTTCTGCCCCTTCCCTTATATAAGCATCTGTGCACTGATGCAGTCAAATAGCATCAGCTGAAAGTCTAATCGGTGCTTTCACAAGACTCCCTGCTGCAACTGACTGCACACGCGTTGCTGACAGCGATAGCATAAGGGAAGAGGACCTGGGAGCGGGTGGCATGAGAAAGGCAGCATTTCCTTTTCCTTACCAGCTGGGTCTAAACTGAAAGCAAAACTCACTGCTGATTCAAGTGGTGTTTCTTACTCCTCCCCATCTCCACAAACTGCATGCTCCCACTTTCCCTCGTGACACCTGCGGTGCTCTGTGGATTCCTCTGTGAGCAGAGCCCACTTCCATTAAAGAGAAAAATAAAACAAAAAGATAAAACGTGGATAGTTTTCTGTGAAGCAAGTAAGCTAAGCTGTCCCATGGAAAGGCTGAACAAGCACGAGACCAAGTGTGAGAGTGGGGCGCGACCATGCAGCCAGGAACAATTTCCACCTTTAGGACAGAGCTACATCAGGTCATCTGCACGTGGAACCCCATACTTGAGCTTCACAAACCCTGTAAATAAAGCTATTCCTGCCTTTTTTCTGCTTTCAGACCTTCGTTTCTGTCCCCAGTACCATACACTCTCTCACACCAACACAAACGTTTATGTAGTCCTGCTGGCATAAACAACTGTGCAGTGATTTCACTCAGAAAACTACTCTGGGCTTGAGACAACCCTGTCAGAAGAAGCAGTCCCATTCGCCTCCTTTTTACAGCAGTGTGGGCTTAACGCTCACTTATGCTTTTGTTATACAAGCACTTATAATAAATAAAAACAGCTTATAATAAAATAAAAAAATTATTTATATAATAAAATAAAAGTAATAATAAAAATAAAATAAAAATAATAAAATAAATAAAAATAGCTTTCTGAAAGTGCTCACAGCTTGGCCACAAGGAAAGCTTCCCCTTTTAAAACTAGCTGAAGAATCTTGCAGGGCAGGAAGCCAGCAGGCCTTTAGAGATGCGGGTGGCATGGCTATTCCTGAGACAAAACTGTCACGGCTGCTGAAAATGAAGACCAAGAGCCCCCAAAATATCCACTGCAGCTTACACCTGGTAGCGGTTACTTTCCCTGTCCCCTAGGCTGCCTCCCAGGCTGGGGCACCGCGAGAAAGCAAGAGAGGGTGCAGTTGATGGGTCCTTGGCATCAGTGTCGTACAGAAAGTAATCCATTCTGGACCTAAGCATGCGGAGCTGGTGTAACAGGAAAGCAGTGGGAGTTCTGGAGAGTGGCGAGCGCCTGGTTAGAGCACGGGGAACATCAGGTTGCAACAGCGGGGGGAAAAACAGTACAGGTACACAGCACCCCCTTTTCACCCTCTCACAGGCTCATGCACACAGTGGCAGTAGAATAACAAAGAGAGAACTGAGAGAGGAAAAAAGCCTATTCTCTGTCCATCCGCATACAAAGAAGCACTCGGGGGAAGAAAGAAGAAAGGTGCTGGGGAAGGATGCATAAAGAAAAAGCTGGAGCAACAGGGAGCTGTCACCCACACGTACATCTCCTGTGCACACCGCTGCTCATTCAACCTCAATTCTAATCTGGCTCTACTTAAAAAAAAAAAAAAAGCACTAATTGAAGAGCCCTATTTTACATAACGACTGGACAAGCTATAAAGTATTTGGTAGTCCTGTACTCAGTAACAAAAGTCTCAGTGCATGGCGCTTTTTATGAATAAAAATAACCAACAGCTTAACTATTTTTAACAAATGTAAGTAATTTCCTTCTCAGAAACTTTTTCAGCCGTTACCTTGTACAGCCTCTTTTACCGCACCGATAAAGTGGCTCCAAAGAACTTCAGGATCTAATTCAACCCAGCCAGGATGAGGATAAAGCGATTCTAGCTGTTCACAAAAGATGAAGAGCACTATTATGAGACCTCGTTCACAGAAACTAACGCTCTTAACAAAAGTCTGTGCAACGTGCCTTTTTTGTTTGTTTTTTAAAGTTTCTGAACACACGCTCGTGCCTTGCGAAACACAGCGTAACGCGGGTGCCCCATCTCCAGAAGCCCTCCTCGGTTCCGGCAGAGTAAAACAGCCTAAAATCGCAGGGATTAGGGAGCCCGCAGGCCCAGGTTGGGCTCCAGACCAGAGGCCGGACCCCTGCGGGCCGACGCCTCGGGGCGGGAGCAGCGCGCCAGGCCGCTGGGCGGCCCGCCGGCCCTCCGAGGGGTGGTCGGCAGACCTCAAACACCCCAAAACCCAGCCCGGC